CTGGACTGGATCTTGAAGTGATCCAGCTCAGGGGCAGTATTTGGGGTTTGGGTAAGAAGAGCCTTTGTGGAAGGAATGAGACAAACAAAAGGAGAAAAATAGCCGTGGGATGGGGGCATGGGAAGGTAGGGGTCTCTAGTGAGGAGACCACCTCTTACCTGTCCTGTGAGCCTCTTCTCCCCTTCTACCCACCATGAATCCTGGGCTAGAAATAGGAGAACATCTCACTATTCTTAGGAAACCAGACCTTTGTGATACATCATGCCTGGGCTTCCTACCTCCGTGCTTTGGGGCACTTTCCCTGACTCAATGGCAAGATCGCCTCTACTTTATGCACCACGGACAAAAGAACCCTCTGTTTTCAGCCTTATCTTGCTGTACAATTATAATTATATGTGTGTGTGATAGAGGGTCTTGTCTCCTTGTTGAACCGATTTTTTCCATGTTTGTGCTGGAGCCATGTCCATCTCTATGTTCTCCACGCTTGACTCGTGGTGGGGATTCTCTGGTTGTTGTCTGAATGTATATATGGACAATGAATGGATAAACAAAGAGTTAAGTGAACACAGTATTTTCCCCCTAAAGACTAGCCCAAAGCGTAGTGTGAAAGCAGTATAATACAGAGCCGTGTTCCTCAACGGGTGGTGCGTGGATCAGTAGCATCTTCCTCACCTGGGAGATTGCTAGAAATGCAGGCTCCCAGGTCTCACCCCAGACCTGCCTTATCAGAATCTGCATCTTAACAGGAACCGCGGGATGATTTGTGTACACTTTACAGTTCGAAAAGACTGGTGTAGTGGTTAAGAGAGAAAGTTCCGGAGACCGAGTTCCAATTCCAGATCTGTGTCTTACCCAGCTGTGTGGACTTATTCCCTCAGGGCCTTAGTTTTCGCATCTGTCAAATGGGCATAATGATAGGAGCTCCTTCCTTGTCTTGTTGTGATGATTAAACGTGTTCACGTGTGTAAAATACCTTGCACGATGCTTGCCAAATGCAAGCATTCAGTGTTCAAAAAATAGTAGCAGTTGTTATTATTATTCATATCCTTCTGACTCCCTGTGAGACTGTGGAGAAAGAAAGGAAAGCTTGCTGAAGATCTAAATAGACACTGCCCTGTGTTTCCTCTCCACACCCGGTAGCTGGTGGTGGGGGCCGGCTGGCCTCTGGGCTGCCCCTTCCTGCATTGGGTCCCCTCAGTGGGGCACTGCTGACGTGAGCAGCGTGGCCCTTCTCTCTGCTGTCATGCCGCAAGCCCAGAACTTCCTGGAGCTGAGGACATCAGCTAGACAGAGAGAACCACCCTTTCCCCGGCGCTGAGTCATGCTATCTCTATTCAGACAGGGATCAGGGCAGGTGGGAAACTCTACAGCCTGGCGGAGATGCCCCGGGCGCGGGATTGGGTGACTCATACTGGGACATGAGTCACACTTATTACATAAGGGCAGATCAAGAGTATTCAAATGCCACACAAGCCTGAATCTGTCCCCATAGACTGGGGAAGGGGGTGTTAGGAAGGAGACTTGCCCAAAGACAAGTCCCGGAATCTCCAAAACAAGTTGGCCCCACTTCTCACGGGTCACTTCTTTCACATATGCCCAAGGACAATATCATCATCATCATCATCATCATCATCACTGATGTGGTTATAATTTGAAACAGGCAGATAAATTGCTTTTCGGGACTAGAGAAAACCTGTGGGTAACTTACTTTAACTTTTAGAGATACAGATTAATCAGCACCCAAACATTGGAGATATGAAAAAGCAATAAGTCTCCTTTTTAAGAGCTATGTAAAAAAAAGCAAAGTCAATTTAAAAAGCAATTCAGTAGAAGAAATACATTTATTTAACAAACGAGGGATAAAAATTTTACACTGATGAAATTAATAGCATTCTTCCTTCAACATATGCATATTCCAGGATTGTGAAGGTAGACAGGGATGGATACCTGCAGATGATGAGTGTGGCAAAAATCAGTGGAAGCTTTCTGTCATGAAGTTGGGCTTAAAAGACTTGTGACATTGGACCTTCTAGGTTTAAGCTAAAGACACAATCTGAAATAGAAAAGATAGTTATGAAGAGATAAATGTTTTCTAAATTATTAGTTATAATAAGGGAATACAGAAAGCACTTTTCAAATCCAACTATGCAATTTGGTTTCATCTATAAATGGTAAATGTACTGAGCATTCAGCTATTGAAAAAGCTTTTGAAGTCCTCCATACTATAGAAGATGCTAGTGCTAACATGCTGGGTTAAATGATAAAGTTGGTTCAAATGAAAACAAAATTTTTAAAGCCTTAGGGTCAAAGCTACATCAACAACAACAAAAGGTCTCTCTACTCTGGGAAAAAAATCCAACTGTAAAAGACTAGAATGAAACATAATATTACCAGTGGTTATGGGAATTCAGTGAACATTTTCCATCTTAATTAAATTTTCAAAACTTTCTGTACTTAACATGTCTTTATAACATAAACATATGTGTGTATATACACATATATTATAAACAATAAATATATATACATATTTAGAATATATATGAATATATAGTGTAAAAGTGATATACAACATATAACATATGTTTTAAAATAATGAATACTAGTAATATAGTATAATATAATATATAGTAAACTCAGATTAAAGTTGAAGGAGACTCTGTGGCCAGCGTTTTATATTGATGTACCACATTCTTCTTATGTGCAAATGGTGAACAACATACAAAGGGTAGCTAATGCGTAACTTTAGTCCAGTGTACTTTAGAAGAAAAATTAGACGGGTGTGGATGATGTGATATATCAATCCCTATGGATTAGATATTTCTGTTTGGAGAACTCTGATTAATTTCCTTATTGCTGATCTAGCCAGTCAACAGCTTTTACTTGTGGTAGTTACAGATCTTTTGACCTCACAGTAGATAAATCAGATGGCAATAGAACGGGTACACACTTCCTTCCATCCTCTCCCCACCCTTTCAATAAATGTCAATTTGCTGGGTTTTTCCGGGTCATGGAATGTACATGTCATAACCGAAGAACAAATCCATTTGCATTCTCAACCCAAACACCATTTTGGAACTCCAAACCTCCCTGAATGCCAACGGGGCTACGGCTCCATGCCCAAAGATATAAAGGGAGAGTCTCTCACTTCCCATGCAATCTTCAGAAATCTATTTTACGTCAAATGGTGGCTCCAGATAGAAGAGAGTGGCCAGAACCAAATACTCATATTCTGCTACATCAATCCAGTTAACCCTCTGGTCCTGCTAAGCTACAAGGACTTCTAAAAACACAGTCCAGCTATCGTGAGGTATGATGTTCTTTCCAAGCCCTGATCTACCATGCACACAATTGCCATATTCATTTTCCAAGGCCCCATCTCTTCTCCTCTTGATCCCTAACCAGGGGTTGCAAACTAAAGCCAGTGGGCCAAATGCAGCCAGTTGCCTGCTTGCTTTTTCTTTTGGCCCTTTCTTAATGGCCCTTGATCTAAGAATGACATTTATTTATTTACTATTAACCAAATGGTTTGAAATGATTATATAAATATGTACCTCATAGTCTTGAGGCTGCTTTTTGGCCTTGATTTTCCCCAAAATATTTACTCTCTGGTTCTTAAAAGAAGCCTGTCCTGAAAGTTTTTGTTGTAACCATCCCAACCTAAGATATTATTTCCTGGATGCGGCACTTCAAAGCTCCTTACTGATACTCCTGTTCCATGCTGCCCCCTCCCCACATTTTTTGTTTGTTTGTTTTATACAAGCAGCCAGAAAACCCATCAGAGCACGACTTTCCTTTCCTCGGAGGCTTCCTACGCTTCTCTTTTCTAAATAAAATCCAAACTCCTTACCTTTTCCTTCAAGCCTGAAGCCCCTGCCTATCTCTGCCTTCATCAACAACAACTCTCCCATTGGCTGGGTTCCAGCCTCCCGACTAACCTTCTGTTCTTTTTCACGTTGAGCCTTTGGACATGGCCCTAGAATATATGCTTCGTGAAGGCGGGGATTTCGTATTGGTGATGTCATCATGTTCTTCAGGATGGTGTCTGGCACATAACACACATCGTATATATTCTGCACCATGGAATATACATGTCATTACGAAAGAACAAATCCATTTGCGTTCTCAACTCAAACACTGTTGTGGACCTCCAAGCCTTCCTGAATGTCAACAGGGCTGTGTTTACATATGCAAATATCATACATGCCAATTCTACTACTTACAGTATTTTGCTCCTTTATCCATCTGTAAAATGTTGATAAAATATAAATTCTGCCTCCCAGCATTGCCATGAAGATTCAAAGTCACTTATTTTTGCAATATATAGAGAGAACTGACATTAGAACTCAGGTCTTTCTGATACTCTGCTGCATCATCCTCTCTTCATTCAAACATTAAGCTTTCCTCTGCTACACGGTCTAGGACAAATCCCTGTGTCTGTGAACACATGGCCTTCTCCTAGAGGAAATATCTTTGTCTTTGTGTCAGAGTGGTCTGTTTTCATGCCCTCATCCAGGCAGCCTTGTGGTACTAAATGACTCAAATTCAAGTTTGTAATCCTCCAAAGCCAGCGTCTGGTTTGGTACTAGAGAGCCTTGTTTTTATGGTATAACTATTGCCTAGAAGAGGAATTCTAGCACCTTTTGTCCACACTCTCCCCTGCCCAGCTGTGGGGCATGAGGCCACCTCTCTGGCCAGACGTCTGGGTTCCTGCTGCTTTTTGCTGTGTTCCTATCACTCCTTGGCTGCACTAGGTTCTTTGGTTATTGGTTGGAATAGGCAGTTTCAGGGAGGGAGAGGATGAGGAACACAAGGATTTGATACACAGTTGCAGCCTTTCCATTTATAGGAACATGGCTTGTAATTCAGGCTTCATCTCCAATCCTGGTCTTTACCAAGCTTTTGTCATGCTATTGTTTCCCTTGTAATTTTTAGTTTATTGGTTCTGCTCCTAAACAATTACTTAATATTGTCCTTTAAATCATCTCACTTTGTTTTCTTTCTTTTTTTTTTTTTTTGCTTATTTTGTATGCAAGTCTGTGGACGCCAGGACAAACTCCTTGGCAGGGTTCAGAAGGCCCCTCACTGTCTGCCCAGCTCCCATCTCAGCCCCTGTCTCACCACTCCCTGTATCACACTAGACGTTTCACTTAACTGATGGTCAGAGTGGTTAACTGTGGCATTGCTCAAGTGCTTACTGCGTCCTAGGCTTTTGTACCCCCCATTTTGGTGAACTCCCCCCGCCAACAAACCTTCCCCAGAAAGAGGGGGTTGACCTTAGAGAAGTGAAATAATCAGCCAAGGTCCCATAAAGAGGAAGCAGGGCAGAGCTGGGGTGCAAGTCCTGTAGTTGTTCCCCTGTTTGTTTTTTCCGGGTACAACTACCTCACCTGCAGTGACCTTTCTCCCTCTAGGTCAGGATCTTTCAGATAGAAGTCCAGGAAGAAGCACAGATTTGATGCTTTTGCTCCTTTTCTAAACACTGCTCAGTGAACGACTTGTAAGTGGCTGGGGCCATATCAAAGCTTGTTACCTGTGTCATGGAATCCAATGTCTAAAGCATTATTGTGTTGACCAGGGGAGAAAACAGTTTTTTAAAGAGATTTTTTTTTTCATGAAGAGATGAAGAAGAGTAGGAATGTATTGGTCTATTTCCAAATCAACGATAAATAAACGGTTCCTCTTATTTATTTTTTTAACCTGGTGCAAACTCTTCTTTATCCAAAGAATTTGCTTTGCTTCTTTCATTTTCCTCTTGAGGCTGGCTCCTGAGGCCACAGAATGAAAGGGGCCTGAAAAAGCGTGCCACCAGTAAACCAGCATGCCATTCAGTTTCTTTTCTTACACAACAGTTATTTGTAAACTAATCAATAAACTTTTCTCATTTTGTTTGCTCCTTTAGAACCCTTAGCAGCCGCCTGCTGAACCATGAAGAAACTTAAAATAGTGATGATCTCCTCTTGACGCTGCCGCCTCTTTCTCCCCATAGAACCCACGAGCCAATCTGTGGTGTTTATACTCGAGGCCATATGAAGCTAATCTGTATGGAAATAAAGGATAGAAATATTCAGATTGAGTTTTACTAAGTGAACCTGAGGTTTTTCTGTTCAGCAAAATAGGCCAGGTAAATGCGTTTCTGATACAGAATAAATCACTGGTTTGAAGACCTATATTTCCCGTTTACCATTTTGCTTAGACGCAATTCGTAGCTCTCTGCATGGATTGTGAAGGGCACCAGCCCCTTCCCCCAGGATAGTTCCTGGAATGAAACTCATGTTCCTGTTGGAGTCTGGGAGTTCTGTTCTCCCAGTCTGAGGCTGAAGGTGTTCAGGACTTCTCAGAGGGTCAAGGAAGAAAGAGGAAAAGGAAAACATTCAGGGATGTGTTTATAGAGCAATTTACAAGCCAGACCCTGAGTCCTTACTCAGGAAATAAGACACACACTCTGGTTCTGGGCACCAGAAGATTGTGACACAGTGTTGTCAATGCAAAGATTGAGACAGGTAAGGAGTTGCCATAGGAGAATATAAGAGGGGAGCCCCACCAGCAGTGCAGGTGTTCAGGCCAGTCCTTTTGAAACACTTGGTTCTGGTCTCAGTGTTTTCATTCATTCATTCACTGAGTTATTAGTTCAACAGTATCTGCTAAATGCAGGTGCCTTTTTAGAAGTACAGCAATGAACAAAAAAGGTTTGTTTTCTTCTCTCATGAAGTACATAGTTTTAGTGTATCTTATTATAATATTATTATTATTATTTGAGACAGGGTCTTACTATGTTGCCCATGCTAGAGTTCAGTGGTATGGTCTGGGTTCACTGCAGCTTTGACCTCCCAGACTCAAGTGATCCTTCAGCCTCAGCTCCCCGAGTAGCTGGGACTAAAGGCATGCACCACCACAGCCAGCTAATTTTTTTTTTTTTTTGAATTTTTAGTAGAGACAAGATCTTGCTATGTTGTCAGTCTGGTCTCAAACTCTTGGCCTTACGCGATCCTCTTGCCTCAGCCTCCCAAAGTGCTGGGATTACAGATGTGAGCCACCTGGCCAGTTTTAGTGTATCTCAAAGCATGAGCTGCAATATGGGAAAGAGGGAAGGAGAGGAGAGGATAGGAAAATCATTCCAGGTCCAGGGAGTGGCAGGAACAAATGCATGGAGACGGGATATAGTCCAATGGTTTATTGAACTGTACTGCATTCATTACCACTTCATTGTAATCTTTCAGGTTGGAAGTTGGAAGATATGATAATGGGAAGGGCTATGTCTTTAGCTTGTCCAGCAGGCAGTATAGAAAAATTAGTGCCTTCTTTTTTTTATGGTTCTCCCATATGCTTTATTTTTATCTCTCAGTCATAGAAAAAAATAAATTTTAGAACTCTTAGAGCAAATATTTCTGAGAAAACTCTTGATATCTTTATGATGGAATTATTTCAGTCTACCTGGGGCCACAACGAATGCCATCAGACAGAGGTAAAGAATGCAAAGCTGCGGGCAGGTGCTGATCTGTACTCCAGAAAAGGCCATGGCCAAGGTCAGCCCTGTGTCGTCAGGGGAGTCACAGATTTGGTGGCAGAGCTCAGAGAAGGGTAGCCTGGTATGTATAGTGCATTTAGGGGATCCCGATGAAGGGGAAACATTTCGACATGCTCTGGTTTGCAAAGTCTGAGGAGAAACAAATAACAGCCATGGACAGTCCTTCCTGAATTATCAGAATTTATCCAGGAGTGAAAAACGCTTCTGATAACTGATGCTTGCATGTATGTTGAACCATATGAAAGAAGTTGATCATTTTTGCTCTGTAAGATGGCAGTTTTGTGGGTTTTCTCTGCTCTGTTGCAGGTACAGAATGGGGCTCTTTATTCTTGGCATCTCACAAAATCTCACATTACCTGTTTTAGCTACAAAGTCTTCGTTCCATAGCTGAAGAAATCAAAGCTCAACAAGATGACATAAATTGCCCAAAGCCACACAACCAGAGGAACCAGGATTCAGACTGAAATCTGTTCAATGTCAAAGCTTGACCACGGATGAAGGCTCAGGGACCTCTGTCCTCCCTGTGTTGGAGCCTATAGGGCCCTTGGGAGCCCTGTGGTCTGGGCTCTTTTCTACTAGGTGGCCCAGTCTGCTCTTTTCTACTCTGCGTATTGTCTTCTCTGGACTCTGAAACCAGCCTGATCGTGGGGGTCTTTGTGCCCTGATTGGCTGGAACTTCAAGGAGCTGGAGGATGAGACACTGACTTCTGTGGGACACTTGGTTTCTGATGAGGGTGGAGGCTGGACAGATTCTGGAAGTGTTTCCTGATGACTCAGTCTGTGCAGGGTTTCTCATACTGACTGTCTCAGCACCCACCTCCTCCAACCTCATCACAGACCCTGTTTTGTCAAGAATTCTCCGGGACACATATTATTATTATCATTATTATTACTAGTTTGAGATGGAGTCTCACTCATGCTTTGAGATACACTAAAATTTGCCAGGCTGGAGTGCAGTGGCACCATTTGGCTCACGGCAATCTCCGTCTCCCTGGCTCAAGCCATTCTCCTGCCTCAGCCTCCCAAATAGCTGGTATTACAGGTATGCACCACCATACCCAGCTAATTTTTGTATTTTTAGTAGAGATGGGGTTTCACCATGTTGGCCAGGATGGTCAGGACTGAATTATTAATGCCAAAGCTTAGATAGTTACCAGCCCTTCCTTGAATCCTCAGCCATAAAAGGAGGTTTATAGCAGTCAGAATGGGCGAAGTTATGCGGTACAAAGAAACATTTCCCCAAACTCTCAGTGGCTTAACCTAATCTAAATCAATCTCTCTCTCTCTCTCTCTTTCTCTCTCTTTTCCTACCTGTGCTACATCTCCAGCAAGGGCCTACAGGGAGTCTCTAATCATCAGGGCCACATAAAAGCCCTAGGCCAAAGGGGGCTTTCTCTCAGTATATGTTTCTACAATCACCTTGGCATAGGGAGTAATATGGTTTGGCTGTGTCACCACCCAAATCTCATCTTGAATTGTAGCTCCCATAATTCCAACATGTTGTAGGAGGGAACCAGTGGGAGGTCATTTAATCATGGGGGTGGGTCTTTCCAGTGCTATTCTCATGATAGTGAATAAGTCTCACAAGATCTGATGGTTTTATATAAGGGAGTTCCACTACACAAGTTCTCTTGCCTGCTGACATGTAAAACATGCATTTGCTCCTCCTTCACCCTCTGCCATGATTGCGAGACCTCCCCAGCCATGTGAAACTGTGAGTCCATTAAACCTGTTTTTCTTTATTAACTACCCAGTCTTGCATATTTCTTCATAGCAGTATGAAAATGAACTAATATAGGGAAAAAACATCAAATTGTACACTGGCTTTTAAAGTCACCCAAAGTGATGGGTGTCACTTCTTGATGAAGGCTTTACTCACAGCTCATTGGCCAAAGCAAGTCACATGTTCATAGCTATCTCCAAAGAGAGTGAAGAAATATAATTTTTCCATGTGTCTAGAAGACAGGGCACAAGAAATATTTGGGGAGAGCACTGAAGACTCCACAGCCATTCAGGATAGTGTAGAGGAAAATGAGCTTATCTCTTGGCCATTAGACGTGGCTCTTCCAAGCACATAGCCTGGTGAATGTCTGATTCAATAGGACAAGAGGCTAACCCAAGCAAGCTATAACATCCAAAAAAAATCATGAGGGCATATTTCAGTGCACGTCCATCACTGAATGTTGTTATTGTGATAAGAGGCTAGAACCAAGTGAGCAAAAAAAGTTTGCTTGCTAGGATGTCGCCATATTGCTAAGGCAACTTTTTCCCTTAGTCTTCCATCTCAAGCAGGCCTGACCCCAAAGAGTAGCCCTCCTTGAATAATTAATAATAAAACTTAGACGTCACATCTAAATAGTCTTTCCATATGAAAGCCAATGGTAATTTTATAGGAAAACATGTCCAAATACCATTCCAGAATCTTTCTCTGAGTTACACAAGCCAGATCAGCATTGGAAATCTTTCTTTGGGCAGACATTAGTCCCTGGGATGAGTTGCACACTACAAACTGATAGCCCTTAATGTTCATGTCAAATAAATCTATTTATACACAGTTTATATGTCTATATATAAGAGAAGGCATCAGTGAGTACTTCCAAATGCTGATGTGTCTGATGTGAGTATAGGCAGCTTATAGGCAATGCCCAGAGACAAGAAGTGCAAGCTACTGATTTAGTTTATATTGTGACATTGCATGTTTCTACCCCTCCATTTCTCTAAAGGCCATCTAAATCTGAAGGGGGAAAAGGCAGTGAATAAAGAAATTAAATAAAATGTTGATGTTCACACAAGCTGATATTTCTCACGTGTCCTTTCTTATTTAAGCCAAATGATTGCATTTAATATGAATGCGAAAAAGTCAAAGTGCTGAGAACATTCTCACTGTTACTGTTTTTTACCAGTAATATCAATCCTTTATTCAACAAATGTTTATTTAATGCATACAGTGTGCTGAACAGACAAGAAGATAGACAAGGTCCTTGATTTCATGAAAATTATATTCTAGTCAGATACAGACAGTGAGTAACTAGACAAATACGTATATAATAAAATTTCAGGTAATACAGAGTTCTTTAAAGAAAAACAAAGCAAGGAATGAGGATGGTGAGTGACAGGTTGGCTTTAGGTAGCATAGTCTGGGATGCTACTCTAAAGAGGTAATATTTGGGTTAAGAAATGAATTAAAGTGAGTGAATGAGTCATTGGAAGGTTTTGAGGGAGATAATTTCAGGCAGAGGAAGCTGGAAATTCAAGGATATCTTAATTTTTGCTTGGAGCAACTGAGAATATGGCAGTGCTATTTACTAAATGGGGAAGAAATGAGTTTGAGGTGAGAAATCAAAAATTCTATTTTGCATCTCTAACATTTGAGATGCTTACTTGGCATCTGAGTGAAGATATCAAGTATGTAGATGAACATATGAGTCTGGAGTTTTAGGGAGACATCAGAGCTAGATATACCAAGATATAAATTTGGAAATCATCAGCAATTAGATGGTATTTAAAACTAA